AGAATCATGTAAATATCTTCTACACGCCTGAAGTTATTTGGACAATGAACCCATTATTATTACCTTTATTATCAGTATTTATCGTCTGTTATTGTCACGTTTGATAAAAAAAAATATATGTCGTATCTTTGAGAATCTAAATCCAAATTTATTTATATTTTACGAAATTATTAAAATGTTTATAATTTTCGACGAAAATTTTATAGAAATTTTAATGTAATTAACTGTTAAACACGCACTTAACCTTGAATTTAATATTAATATTTAAATAGGTAAGCAAATATTGTTAGAATTTACAGTTATTTATGTTTATTGTTAGATCAAAATTTGTTTGGGTTCTAAAATTAATATTTTATGGATTAGCAATGGAGAGAACAGAAATTGAAAATAATTTTATAAAAATAAAAAATTACGGTATTGGTATGTATACCTATATGAATTTTCATCGGACATAAGGACATAACATAGCAAACCTACAATTTGTAAATAAAAACTTTATCTAACCTCTATTATTTATAAAAGACCTTGGGTTTATCACATTATTTACCTGAAGAGAAAAAAAAATAGTTTATCGCTTCATTCATATTTATACTTTCACCTACGGTTAACCACACACGAAAAATATAAGTAAGTACCTATATAGTTACGAGCATCTGTTAGCAAGATTTTTGTTACGAAAAATAGAAAAATACTGATCAAAGATCACACGCAAAAACCGTTGAAACAATAGTTTAACCTCAAAACAATGCGTTGCAATAATGATTCATACATCACAAAAATAAAATCCGTAACCAATATTGATCGCAGCGTTAGCAAAAACCGTTACAAAGCAAAGGGAGCATCCCCTTTGATAGTCATATGTTTATTGGATTGAACAGCACCCCCATCTAGTAGCTTGGGGCAACTAATGCGTTCGATTGTTTTGCATCTGTCTGCCCTAGCTATCCCGATACAAAATAATAAACAGCTGTGGCGTTGTGCGTGCAACGTCACTCATAACTGGCCATTTTCATGTGTTTGGGTGTAAACGCACATGTGGTATTTTTTTTTACTTTCAACGTTAATTGACAGATTCAGAAATCAAATGCGTGCAGAAAATTAGACGCGACTCTAATAGGGGTTGCATTTTTGGTATTTACGTCAAATAAAAAATATTTTCTACCACATTTATTTACAAAATAAGTCAACCAGCTTAAACTAAATGACGTATTTTCAAGTTTCGTTTTCTTAGGCATTTCCATTTACAAATTGATAATATCAATTTGTATTTTTTTACAAATTAAAAAAATTCATGAGCTTTAAACAAGTTAAACAGTCACTTTGATAACATAAAAACTTGATATTGATGACATTTAATTTACTTGAGAGAAAAATAATGAGCTGTGTTCTATTTACTAAATAAAATATTGTCTGGTTGTAGTGTAGATATCTTTGAAAGCAATTTTTATAGCTTCCAATTATTTAAGACCCGCCTCAAAACTACCTCTGATTTCATCCGCGATACGTTGTATTTAGCACTATGCTTTAATATTCAATCAAATGGTATTAAAGAACTGAATTAAATATGATAATTACAAATAAATGTAAGATCAACATCAAACAAAATATTCTTCAAATACTATTATTATAATTTACCTGAAGGATCAAAAGAAATAATCCTAAGATACCCGCGGCTATACGCATATCTTAGGATCATTAGACCTATAAAAAACTAGTGGTACCTATTCGTAGTATTCTTCTTGGTTTTGGGTTATAGGTGAACGCACTGATGGACTGGTCAAGGTGACGCATGATGTGCGTGAGTGTTCTGTACAGGGTGTCTCAATTTACTGCCTACCTAGGGCCGTCTATTCACCAAAATTGAAATCTCTAGAATGTGTTACAATCAGTCAGAGATTAAGGAAGATGTTTTGTAATGTGCAGTGAACGGTTTTTTCGATGATCTTTATTTTGAAATTGTTTTTTATAGCAACAAATTTATTGTATAATGTTGGCGTTAATCTTTTCTAGTCTGTTTTGGTCATTATCCGACAATTGTGGGGCTAAAATGGATTTTACCAGCCGATAGTTTATCTAAAACTAAAGGTTGGTCCAATTTTGTAATATTTTTGATCTAAAGTTTTTTTATAGTGTTTTATTAATATCTAAAAAAAGACTGACCGATTTTAATGAAATTTTCAGTGTGTTGACATTTATGAGGTGTCTTTCCAAAATGTTACAGTTGATCCAGTAATTTCAGAGGCGTGCTAAGGACAGTTTGATTAATTTTCGGCACAAAAATATGGTCCAGTAGATTTTTGAATTTTTCATAATTTTTTTTTTTAATAAACTGACTAAAAATAAAACTTTTGTCTCTTAAATTTTCTTCGTATCTTTTTGAGGAAAAAATTAATACTAACAATTTTGCAAGCTTTTGAATAGCTTAACCTCGACCTGAACTTTGTACATTGTGTACATCAAAAATAAAACAAAATTGAATCATAGTTGATTGGACAAAGTACCTTTATTTTTCGATATACTATCAGCAGGTTGTCCAAAATTATTTTCCGTAAATTTTAGAATAGTACCTATGTACATCAAAAATAAAAGCCGTCATCTATCAATTTTCTTGCGAAAATGCACAATAATGGAAATATAGACTAAAGAGAGAAAATTCTGGACCACTTTGTAAATATCTCATATAGATACAGGTCAGAAAAATAGTATAAAAGTGAATGATTAAAATTACTGAATATTAGGTGCACGAAATTTGGTAAAAGGAGGACAAACCGAAATGTTTGTTGAACAAACAGATACAAATTGTGGACAAAAGAATGCTAATATATTTTTTTTAAATTAGGATGTTGCTGGTAAATTAAAGGGCCTTGGTAAACTTTAAATTATGCTTATACATCGTGGCACCCTGTATAAGTGTATATATAACTAACGCTTCTACGTTCTACGCCCATACCAGACGAGTTGCAGCCTCCTCCGCACCCCTCCTACGTTAATAGTTCCATAGTGGAGCCCTCAGGTCATCAGACACGATTCCTAGGCCCTTTAAATCCAGCTAGCGACGACCAAAACAAAAGAGTTATTTTGACAAAATAAAAAAAACTAGTTGGCGTGATGAGGGTTGGAAGGGTTGATTGGCCTGATGCGGTGTTGCCGGTGATTATTACGATTGGTGCGTAAATGAAAACTGATGGGACGTGTATGCAGTAGAAAAACTAGGGCCTGCTTGATTATCCATAAAATTAAAGAGTTATTATTTATTTGTTACTACTTGAACAATAATTACATGCAAAATGTTCTGTAATATGAGAATAAGTACATGTGTTAATATTTTCTAGGTAGATGTATATATGGACATTTCTGAACAATCGACTACCTAGGTACTTAGGTATTTGCTAAAGAAAGCTGTAATAAATAATTTTTTTCTACTTACTGTACTTAATTATTGATTTATTAGACATTCTCTTCCTGTACTTTAAAACATATATTACGATATCGATTTCCATTAAAATATGTATCTACAAGTTTATAGCCAATATAACTGCAATATAACATCTGACAGAGATCTAAAATTTATCACTTTTGATAATTCATTGTTAATATTTAGGTACCTACTTGTGAATATAAAATCTTTATAAATGTGGGATTAATGTCAATGAAATCGAGAATCTAACTCTACCAGAAATTGTGGAACAGGACACAACTACTGCAAATAATTTATACCTTCTACCTACTTATGTTTGGTTTGTGATAAAATATTCATAATGTTTTTTAAATCAAATTCTTATTTCTCTGGATTTTTCTTTATTATGACTCGCATTATTTAAAACCCAAAAAAGCGAGTTGCATAATACCTTCTATTAATTAATAATAGTACACCTGCCTAGGTACCTGTTATGCAATAAGGCATTAATGGTAGCTAGTACCTAGGCGAGTGTCGTAATGAATACGATTGTCTTAATAGCCTTCAATGTGAGTTGCATATGTTACCTACCTACCTACACATTTTTTTTCTACGATCAAACAAATAAATTACTTAGATTGTTAATATTTTTATATTTTCTGTATTTAATAGGTAATTTAACATGCAAGATTTCATTACCTATTTTTATTGTAACGGTAGGTAGGTATCTTATCCAGGCTAACAATGAAATAACATAATTATTTGCCAAAGAACCACACACCTACTTAGATTTAGTAAGTTTGAACTTACAAACCAGATAAATAGGTACCTACTTACGGTAGCTATTCATATCCAGGTATTAATAAATAAAAAATTGGTTTTGTATACTTTAAACAATGACAAAATTAGAGATAACAGCGACGAAAACAACAAATGTTTACATAGCCATCTTTACCGTTTGTGACGCAAAATTGTGCCCGGCTGTGGCAACCAACCGTTATATCAACAAGATGCTTAATTTATAGATAATTTTTTTAATGAGCAATTATGTAGGTATTATTATTATTCAGTTTGATTGTTGGGTGGGTAGCATTGTATTTAAACAAAAGTTTTGCCATACCTACCTAGCTGTCTCCTGCTAATCATAAATAATAACTGAGATAAAAATGTTCATATCTATTATCAAATGCAGCTTTTTTTATCGCAATTGTAGATATTACCTACATACGTAGACACTTAAGAACATAATAATTTGATGATTGATTTGAGAAATGTTATTTGTGTGACTGATTGTACCTATTTTACTTAACTCTAGCATCAACAACTTAGTGCATGTAAATCCTAATTTTCTTCAATTTCAACTAAATTTACCAAATATGATGTTAATTCATTAATTTGATTAATTAAGTAGGTACACTAACATAGGTGACTCGAAAAATATAGGTAGGTAATTATGATACCTAATCCTAAAAAATTGTATAAAAATGATTCTTAGGTACTAAAAGTATTATTATGAGCAGTGTATTGAAAAAGTTGATTATTTTGGAGAATGCTAATTAATAGGTATTGCTAACTCTATTATGTATTGTTGTTAAAAACTTACCGGTAATGAGCCGTTGCGGTTTTGAATTTTGATGTGATTTTTGCGATGACGTCACCTCCTCTTTCTCCTGCATAAATCTAATAGGAGTAGGTCTTATAACGTCATCGGGTATTGCATACAAGTCTTGACCTTCAAAGTCATTGATTGGACGTTTTCTAGGTTTAATTTTAATGGGTGCGACCGATTTCCATTGGAAACCGCCTCTTTGGCTTAGAGGTACCTCATGTTGAAAGTCGAAATTCCATTTTTCCGACTGTGTCGTTCGAATTCTTTCCAACTCTTCTTCCAGAAATTTTTGACTAGAGACATGGTCTATAGGTCCGAATAAAGATCTTTTAACTTTACGTGTTTCTGGCTTAAACTGTGGGCCTGTTTTCGACAGGAAATGTCCAAGAGGATTGCAATATAAACTTGTACTCATTTTTGTTTACGTTTGATATTATGCAACCAATATTACACTAAAAATTCAGACGATTTGATAAGTTTTGCACTGATTACGCGCGAACGATGATTTAGAATCACTGCTCTGATCGAACAACACTAAAATAATCCTTAATTTCTTCGATAAAAAAATCCATAAACGATTAAGTTCACCTAAACTAAACGTAAATAATTCGAAAGTCGTAGACGAACACGACAGCGACTGGCACTGACTACGCTACAAACAGAAATGACAGCAAGTTTGAAGCAAGCAGAGAGCAGAACGCAGAACGCGAACAGACGCGAGTCGTTTCAGTGTGTTGGAGAGGTAAGAGGAACGGATGGATTGGTCCAAGTATAACGTAAGGGGAGTCCACTCCACTCTGATTTAAAACGAAGAACGGTTCAGTTTGAATGTTTGAATTTAAAATGCGTTTTTATTTGACGGATTAATTTAATATGAATTAGGTAGGTACATTAAGCACATAATACCTATAATATGCAAATGAAAACAATTTGTTGTTTATTGATTGAAATACCTATAATTGAATAGATAACGTAATGAGAATCAAATACCTAATTCCTAATTCTAATTCTAATTAAGAAGCAGCCGTACCTCACTAGGTAGTAAGGTAAATAGGTAGGTACTTATAAATATCACATTTTTCTATACCTACAAGCACAATAGGTAAGGTTATCGAATAAATTTAAACGATTTTTTTGTCACGTCATGCATACCTACAATAATTTGTTAAAGATTTTTTCAAAACTACACTGCTCAAAACAATTATTAAGTGTTCGGCAGTTCGGAATATTTCTCGAAGGACCGGGCCTGTTCTGCTGTGTGACATTTTTGATATCAACATTTTTTTGACTTTTCAAATAATAGTACGTGAAATGAGGAATACCTATGTAAGTGGATAATGTTACCTACAATCATCTAAAGTATAATAATTTTTAATTAGATTTTTTTTCAAAATCAAAGGGCTTTTCTTCTCCTTATAGAGCTTGATGCTAGGTAAAAATTTCATGTTGATATCGCTGTTTGTTTTTCATTTTTAATTTAGGATTTTTTTAATATCAACCCATCTTAACCCCCTAATTTTAATCAGATTTTTTCAAAATTAATAGGCTTTGTCCCCTTATAGAGCTTGTTTTTTGCTTAGAATTTTCGTTTTTGACTTATCGTGCAGACAAAAAACGTAACATCGGACAAAGTAAACCTATAATACTACTGTGTGAAGAGTATAATAATATTATAATCAAGGCTAAAACAATAACATACCTAATGAACTAAAAAAAAAGTAAAATAAAAAAATGATAAATTCAAAGTTTTGAAAATTATTTAATGGATAATTGGTGCCTTGGAGGTAAACTGCAGTCATTCTAATCAACTTTTTAGGAGAGCAGACTGAATATTGTTTGGACACTTTTGTATTCCATGTTTACATATCAATTATATTTCGACAAGAAACGCAGTTAGCCCCAATTATTGTCACAATATGTATTGTTTACTAATAATCTAACCATTAAAACTTTTTTATTATACATGTCTTGTTAGTTTTGGTAACATATTTCAATGTTCTGATAACAATTTTTCTATGACAGTGTCATATACCTAAAACATGCCTCTATAAATAGTACGACATAGTTCAGTTTACCTCTCAGGTACTGATATCGGTAAATATTTAATTAAGTCTTCATGATATAGGTACATAACTAACATAGAAACAACTATTTTTTTTTTCTTCTTTCTCCTGGGCTCGTCTGACTATGTGTCTCCGAATAACACTGAAACCTATTGGCTTGTTGTGTTTTACCCCATGTTAGTTCATAGCATCCACTCTGTCACCTTTGTACCTTGTAAAAGTTTGTACAGATCCTTGGGTGAGTGGGTTCTATACGTTGTTGGATCAACCTGGAGTTGTCCAAAAAGAGCCTGTCTTTTGCGATCTAGAGCTTCGCATTCGCACAGTATGTGTTTGGCCGTTTCTGGTTTCTTGTGACATAGTCGGCACATGAGTTCCCTATTGTACATGCCAATTTTGTTCAAGTGTCCCTTTACTGGGGCGTGCCCAGTCATGAACCCTGTTATCACTTTCAACTGGTTCCTATTCATTAAGAGTAGTTCTCCAGTTCTTTTGGGACATGGTCTGCCTATGAAGGCTTGTCCATGTGCCTGTTTTGGGGCGCTTCCCCAATAGTTGATATGTTGTTCCCGAATCCAGTCGTTTATGAAACCCCGGACTGTACTTTTTGATAATCCTGGGTTTGTGTCTGGTTCAGGTGTTTCTTCTGACCCTCTTTTTGTAAGTTCGTCAGCCTTTTCGTTGCCTTCGATCCCTTGGTGACCTGGCACCCAAAATAGTTTTACTCTATTTGCATTCCCATACCAGCCTCGACGTAACTTTCTGACTCGATATGGCCTTAAGTGTCACTTGGCTGTCTGACATTATTTAAATGTGCTGATTTTCGACAGCTCTTTCATTGTTCGTTTTTGCACATTGTAAAATTGCGTATACCTCGGCCTGAAATACCGAGGAATGTATTTCTATAGCATAGCTATGGTTAGTATCAGGGTTTTTGGAGAATACTCCTGCCCCAGTGCCTTCCGTCTGTATACCAGGTTTGTTCCTATGTATTAAAAGAGTACCTCTTGGTTATGTGGTCTGATCTCATGTCTAGCACGTCTCCTGTCACTTACCTTAAGATACTCGTGTGACCTGGCCTAATGTCAAGATTTCCCAGTATATTCCCTAATCTGTAAGCACCTAATCTTGCCTCCCCTTGTATCACATAGTGAAGAACTGGGAGTCCTATTAGTGCTTCCCTTGCAGCAGTGGGGGTTGTTTTCATTGCCCCCGTTATTCCGAGGCAGGCAAGTCTTTGTACCTTGCTTAGCCTCGTTATTGCTTTCCTTTGCTGTGTCTTTGGCCACCATACCAAAGCTGCGTATGTTATTATCGGTCTCACCACCATGTTATAAAGCCAATATACCATGTCTGGTGTTAACCCCCATTTTTTCCCCCTTAAGCTGGATACTTGCACCTCTTAGGTTTAGAGGCCCTAGCCCTCCAATTTCCTCCTGCGGGTGAATGCAATTATGTCAAATTTGTTTGGGCTAATGTTTAGTCCTTCCGCCCCTGTCCATTTTGTTACTATATTTAGAGCCTCTTTTATTCGATCTCTTACTATAGTGTTGTATTTTCCCTGTGCCATGATCACTAGATCATCGGCATATCCCAGGGTTCTATGTCCCTTATCTTTGAGAGCCCTAAGCAGCCCGTCCACTACAAGGTTCCACAGGAGTGGAGACTGCACTCCACCCTGCGGACATCCTCTCGCTACCCGTGCCGCTATTGTCTCTCCCATAAGGGTTGTGTGTATAGTTCTCTCTCTTAACATAGAGTCGATCCAGGACACGCATGTGTCCTCGATTCCTCTGTGTTTGAGAGATCTAATGATCGATTCAACGGAGGTATTGTCAAATGCACCCTTGATATCCAAGAATGCTCCCAGCATTACCTCCTTGTTTTCCAGTGTGTTCTCCACCCTTTTTATTAATTGATGGAGAGCTGTTTCAGTTGATTTCCCTGCACTATAGGCGTATTGGTCTTGGTATATTGGCCTCTGAACCAATATCCCGTCTCTAATATGCCTATCTAGAAGTTTTTCAAAGTCTTAAGTACAAAGGACATAAGACTTATTGGTCTTAGGGGCTTTGCCGTTTCCTGTCCCATTTTCCCAGGTTTTGGTATAAAAGTTACCCTAATATTTCTTCAAGCTTTTGGTATGTGTCCAAAGGCCAGGCTACTTCTGAGTATGTTACAGAGTCTGCTGTATAAAATATCAGGACCTCTTTGTAACATTATTGGATAAATCCCGTCCATGCCCGGTGATTTATATGGTTCGAATGAGTTAATTGCCCATTTCAGTTTATCATAGTTTACCACTTGTTTGGCTATCCTCCAATCTTCCCTGTTGGCTCTATTATGAGCTTCCAGTCCGTTTAGATTCCGGTTAGCCGGTGTGTGTGCTATGGTTTGTGCACCAGGGAAGTGAACCCTGAAGAGTTCCCTTACTGTTTCCTTCCCTGTGATTGTGTACTCCCCCAGTTCATTCTTAAGGGTGTTTATTGTGTGTCTTTTGAGATAATTTTTTGAAGCCTGGCACATTCTTGAGTGCTTGCTATCTCCTCACAGTGCCTTTACCAAGACTCTCTCTTGACTTTTCGTAAGGCTATTTAGTTTCTTGAATTAATTTAGCCAAGTGCAATATTTATTTTTTATATCATCTTTAAAAAAAACTTTAATACAAGTTTAGCTTCCATTTTTTTGTAAATGCATGCGATACTATCATTCGAGTTAAATCCTCACCGCTACGTCAGTCTGACACTGTTTATCAGTACCTCTAGCATCTAGGTATAGATAGAACATATTTCTATAACTTCAAATTCATTAGGGACAACCTACAAAATAAAACAATTATTCATACAAAATTGTACTAGGGTCAAGAAATTATCCTTGTTCAATTTATATAATAAAATTGTCATACTAGTCCAATTAAATAACGAAAAAAGCCCCTTCGAGCTTACATTAATTTGTAATTGGATGAAACAAAAAGGACCTTGTGTATTTTGATGTGATCTTTCCGAAAAAAAGAAAAAAAAGATGTAGCAGTTTTTCAATTTTTTTAAATTAGGAAAAACCGGGTTTTCCGGAATTTTCCATTGTAAAAGTGCTAATTATCTGGGCAAGTATCATTCCGATAGTGAAAATAAATGCACCATTCGAAAGAGGAGGCAAAAATAGTTCGGAAATTCATTGCACAGGTAGTTTTAATGGCGAATTTCTTGCCGCCAGAAGTGCTTTTGCCAAAAAGTCGTTTTTTGTTTTTTTGATTAGAACCATGGACATGAAATTTGCGATGAATTTGTGGCGAAATTATAAATGTTAGACATATGTGCCCATGAGAGAAGTTGCGTATTTTTTTGTTGGCTCTCAAATAAAATAAGTCCCGCGGCGAAATCTGACATAAATTTTCAGGAATTCGCAGGAAACCAGAGGCGTAGTTTTTTTTTAATTTTTTCCCATGTGATTTTTTCCGGGTTTTCCGAAAACATCTAACAAAATAAATATATTTGAAAAAACTAACTTCGCCATCGAAAAGAGCACAAAAAAATACACAAAAAATTATACTTTAAAAATGTTAGGAAATTAATCCTAATCCTGAGTGTAAGTTCCAACTTGGTGATAAGCTTGCTTTTTGTTCGCTAATATCTGGTAATTCTATATTTTGCACAAAACTCAAGAAACGTCTTATAACAAGTCAGTAAAATACAATTTAATAAATTTTAAGCCTAATAAATTTAGATATGCAAGAAATTTAAAACTGGAAATCGCAAAAAAATCAAATTACAGCAATGTAGTGTATACACGAGTTTTGGATCCCGCGGAGC